ACTCTTCCACTCCCCCTCTCCCTATCCCACTTCCTTCTTCCATTTCCTCAGGCATTTTCCAATTCCCATTCCCACTTGCTCTCTCCCCCTTTCCACTCTCACAATTCCCATTCCCACTCCGTCTCCTCCACTCCACTCCTCCCTCTCTTCCCCGCGCATCCACTCATCTTTCTCTCTTCCTCCTCCTCTTCCCACTCCATCTTTTTCTCTCTTCCTCCTCCTCCTCCTCCATATTTTCCTCTCTTCAACCTCCTCCATCTTCTCCACTTTCTCTCACCCTCTCCTCACCGTCTTCCCATTCCCCCGTTTCCACTCCCTTTTCCACCCCCCACCCCCCACCCCTTGCCACCATAGGAGTTCCCCCTCTCCCTACCGCCTGCCCGGATATCCACTCCCTTTCCCCCCTCCCTAGACACCCCCTTCCCATCCTCCCTTCCCCCACCCCCACCCCAGATACACAACCGGATACCCCCCAACCTCATCCCTCCCCTACTGCCACCCCAACCACCCCCTTCCATCCCTCCCATCACCCCCTCCATTTTCCCCTTCGTCTCCCCCCTATCCCCCTGCCACCGCTACCACCCACCAGCTACCCCCAGATACTCCCTACTACCAACCAGATACCCATCCCCATTTACCCCTCCCCAGATACCCCCAGATACCCCCTACCACCCCAGATACCCCTACACCGCCAGATACCCCTCCCCAGATACCCCCTACCACCCCCAGATACCCCAGATACCCCCAGATACCCTACCACCCACTAGCTACCCACCAGCTACCCCCCAGATACCCCTTACCACCACCCCCCAGATACCCCTTACCACCACCCCCAGATACCCCCTAGATACCCCCAGCTACCACCCCCCAGATACCCCTACCACCCCCAGATACCCCCTACCACCCCCCCAGATACCCCCTAGACACCCCCATCTTCCCCCCAGATACCACCCCCTACCCCTACCACCCCAGATACCCCCTAGACACCCCAACCCCTAGACACCCCCCCCAAGATACCCCCCTAGCTGCCCGCGAATATAACTTATGCGAAAGCTCTGTCCGCGGTCTGTTGCGGCCGGTTATTACAACCTCGCCGCCGTCACCATTACCATAACAATAAGAATGGTGGCGGCGCATCTGCATAAAGAGCGGCCTTGACACCTGCTCTTATCTGCGGTGATGGAGGGGAGGACGAGGGGGGGGAGGGAGGGGAGGAGGGAGGAGGGGGGAGGGGGAGGTGGAGAAGGAGGTGGAGGGAGGGCGAGGGGAGGGAGGGTGGGGAGGAAGGGAGGAAGGGGAGGGGGGGGGAGGGAGGGAGAGGGGAGGTGGAGGGAGGGGAGGGAGAGGGCGAGGGGAGGGTGGGGGGGAGGGAAGAGGTGGAGGAGAAGGTGGGGAGGGAGGGAGGGAGAGGGAGGAGGAGGAGGAGGTAAGAAGGGAGGGGAGGGGAGGGGAGGGGGAGGAGGGGAGAAGGTGAAGGAAGGGAGGGAGTGAGGGAGAGAGGTGAAGGAAGGGAGGAAAGGGAGAGGGTGATGGAAGGGAGGGCGAGGGGAGGGAGGAGGGGAGAGGAGGGAGGGAGAGAAGGGAAGGAAGGGAGGTTTGAGGGAGGGGGGAGAGAAAGATTGGGGGTGAGGGGAGGCGAGGAGAGGGGAGGAGAAAGTGAAGAAAGGGAGGGGAAGATGGTTGGGGGTGAGGGGTAGGGAGGGAAACGGCGGGGAAGGGAAGGTTGGGGAGGGAAGGGAAGGGAAGGAGGGTGAAGAGGGAAGGAGAAAGTTGGAGAGGAGGGGAGGGAGGGGAAAAGGGGGAAGGAGAAGATTGCTGGATAAAGGGAGGTAGAGAAGGGAGGGGAAAAAGAAGAAGGGGGGAGGAGGGAAGCTGGAGGATGAGAGGGAGGAAAGATAGGGAAAAAATATATGGGATATTAGCGAGGGAGGGAAAAGGGATAGGAAAAGAAGGGGTGGGAAGACAGAAAGGTAGGAAGGGAGGGCAGGAGAGGGAAAGGAAAAGGAGAGAGGGAGAGAGGAATGGGATGGAAGGAAGAGGAAGACAAGGGAAGGAACGAGTGGAGTTGGAGAAGGAAGGAGGAAAGGGAAGGAGGTAATAAAGGAGATAAGGGGGAGGTAAGAGTGAGGGAAGGTAAGAAAGAGAGAGATAAGAGGGAAGCAAGATTAAATAAAGGCAAGAAAGAGGGAGATAAGGCGGAAGGTAAAAAGTGGAAACCGTAAAGAGGGAAAGAGGAAGCTGGCGAGAAAGAAGGAATGAAGGAGGGAAAAGAAAAGAGAGGCAAATAAAAGAAGAAAAAAGAACTGATAGAAGATGATGTATGGATAGATAAGGAATATCCCGAAAAGAGGAACATACGATAAAAAAAGACCAAGAAAATGGAAAATAAGAAGAAAGAGGGAAAAGGAAAGGAGGAAGAAGAGGAAAGGAGGAAGGAGGTAGGGAGAGAAAAGATGAAAGTGGGAAAGGATATGGGAGAGAGAAAAGGGCAGGAAGGAGGAATAGGAAAGCAGGAAAGATGGAGGGAGGGAGAAGGAGGAAATAAGGATGGACAATTGGAGGATGAAAAGGGAAAGTAGAAAAGAGAAGGAAGTGAGAAGAAGAAAAGAGGAAATAGGAAGATGAGGAAGGAAGAGGAAGAAATGAGGAAGAATGAAAGATGGAAAGAAGAGGAGTGATGAAGAAACAAGGGAGCAAAGGAGGAGGAAAGAAATAGAGAAAGGGAAGAAAAGGGAGCGAGAAGAGATAGATAAAGGGGAAATAGGAAGGAAAAAATGGATGAGAAGTAAACAAGAAAGAAAGCGACGGTCGAGGAAAGAAGAGGAAGAGAGAAGAAAGAAAGGAGAAGAGGGCGTGTGTTGTCATGTCAGCCGCGGTTGTCACAAGAACGTGACAGCCTATGGAGGGGGAAAGGGGGGGGGCGTGACAAGTGGGGAGAAAGGGATGGAGGAAAGGGGGGAGAGTGGGGAGAGGAAGGAGGATGAGGAAAGAAAGGATGGGGGGAAGGGGAAGGAGAAGAGAGGTAACAGATCAGGGAAGGAGGAGAGGAGGGAAGGATGAATGAGGAGAGGATAGAAAGGGAGAAGAATGAAGAGGAAAGGAGAAAGGAAGAACGAGAGACAGGTGGAGAGGGAGCAAGAAAGGAGGAAGAAAAGCCGAATAGAGGAAATAGGAGAGAGATTTAGGATTTAGAACAGGGGGAAGGATAGAGAAAGATGAAGCAGGAGAAGAGAAAGACTGAGAGAGAGAGAGAGAGAGAGAAGAGAGAGAAGAGAGAGAGAGAGAGAGAGAGAGAGAGAGAGAGAGAGAGAGAGAGAGAGAGAGAGAGAGAGAGAGAGAGAGAGAGAGAGAGAGAGAGAGAGAGAGAGAGAGAGAGAGAGAGGGAGGGAGGAGAGAGAGAGAGAGAGAGAGAGAGAGACAGACAGACAGACAGACAGACAGACAGACAGAATGAGAGACAGATAAACAAACAGACATACAAACATAGACAGAAGGAGAGAAAAAACAATACACAAACAAATAAAGCAACGAAACAATAAGAAGATTTAACAAAAAAAAAGAGAGAGAGAGAGAGACAACAGAGCAAAGAATAAAGTAACAGGAACAATTTAAAAAAAAAAAAGAAAGAAAAACTTCAGATTCGTCTTCGGAGTGCCAGTGTCTGTCTGTCCTCCTTGTGTCCCTCGAGTCACCTTCCTTGGAGAGGAATTTGGCGGAGAGGAGGAGGAGGAGGGGCGCTGACCACACACGATGGAGTGTGTGTGTGGGGGGGCGGGGGTGTATGTGCGCACACTTACACTCATACAGATAGCAGGGAAACATAAATGCTTTATATGCACACACACATACACTCTCTCTCTCTCTGTCTCTCTCTGTCTTTCTCTCTTCCTATATATATATGTCCCATATATATATATATTATATATATATATATATATATATATATATATTATATATATATATATATATATATATATATATATATATATATATATATATATATATATATATATATATATATATATATATATATATAATATAATATATATATATATTATATATATATATATATATATATATATATATATATATAATATATATATATATATATATATATATATATATATATAATATATATATATATATATATATATATATATATATATATATATATGCATTATATATATATATATATATAATATATATATATATATATATATATATATATATAATATATATATATAATATAATATATATATATATATATATATATATATATATATATATATATATTATATATATATGTATATATATATGTATATATATAATATATATATATATATATATATATATATATATATATATATATATATATATATATATATATATATATTATATATATATATTTATATATATATATATATATATATATATATATATATATATATGTATATATATATATATATATATATATATATATATATATATATATATATATATATATATATATATATATATATATATATATATATATATATATATATATATATATATATATATATATATATATATATATATATATATTATATATATATATATATATATATATATATATTATATATATATATATATATATATATATATATATATATATATATATGTGTATGTGTGTGTGTGTGTGTGTGTGTGTGTGTGTGTGTGTGTGTGTGTGTGGTGTGTTGTGTATATATGTATATATATATATATATTATATATATATATATATATATATATATATATATATATATATATATATATATATATATATATATATATATATATATATATATATATATATATATATATATATATATATATATATATATATATATATATATATATATATATATATATATATATACTAATGTGTGTGTGTGTGTGTGTGTGTGTGTGGTGTGTGTGTGTGTGTGTGTGTGTGTGTGTGTGTGTATCTTTTCTCTCTGTCTCTCTTCTCTTCTTCTCTCTCTCTCCTGCTTTTCTTCCTCCCTCCTTCATTCTCATTTTAAAGCCTCCTTTTCACCCTTCATTCCTCTTTCCCTCCTTTCATCCCTCCCTTCCTCCTTTATCACCCCTCTCCCCCTGCCTCCCTCCCTCCTTTCATCCTTCCCTTTATTCTCCCTCCCTATCTCCCTTCATCCCCCTTTTTATCCCTCTCTCCTTCTTCCCTCCCTACTTTCATCCTTCCCCTTACCCTCCCTTCCTCCATCCTTCCCCCTTTACCCCTTCTTCCCTCCCTCCTTAATCCATTTTACCCCTTCTTCCTCCCCCTCCTACCCTCCCTCCCTTCCTCCCTTCCCCCTTTACCCCTTCCCTCCCTCCCTCCTATCCTCCCTTCCCTCCCTCCTTACCCTCCCTCCCCTCCTACCCTCCTCCCCTCCTCCCTTCCCTTTCCCTCCCCTCCCTCCCCTCCTTCCCTTCCTCCTCCCTTTCCCTCCCTTCCCTCCTACCCCTCCTCCTCCCTCTCCCTCCTACCCTCCCTCCCTTCCTTCCCTTACCCCCTCCCTTCCTCCCTTTACCCTTCCTCCCTCCCCTCCTACCCTTTCCTTCCTTTACCCCTCCCTCCCCTCCTATCCTCCCTTCCCTTCCTCCCTTTACCCCTTTAACCCCTTCTTCCCTCCCCTCCTCCCCTCCTCCTCCCTCCCTTCCCTCTTACCCTCCCTCCCTCCCCTCCTCTACCCCCTCCTCCCTCCCCCCTGTCCCATCGACCAAAAAACTAATTTCATAGAGGCATTTAGCGCATAACGGTAATAACAGGCCATGCAAGGTCAGACTGCATACTTGTGAAAAATGGCCGGGTAGGGAGAGAGGGAAGAGGGAGGAGAGCGAGAGAGAAGGGAAAAGGCGGAGAGGGTGAGGTGAGGGAGAAAAGAGGGAGAGGGTGAGGGTGAGGATGAGGATGAGGAAGGGAGAGAGGGAGGAGAGCGAGAGAGAAGGGAAAGGGAGAGGGAGGGAGGAGAGCG